TCCAGCCCAACCCCTCCCCCCCTCCACCACCCCAGCCCGCCCCCCCCTCCTCTCTCCATCCCAGCCCAGCACCGCTCTCCTCTCTCCATCCCAGCCCAGCACCGCTCTCCTCTCCCCATCGCAGCACATCACGCCAGGGCCCTGAACCACCCGGTCCCCCATGGGACTGACAGCAGCAGCAGAATCCACATTCGCAGTGAGGTTTAGAGGAGCACGAGTCCAATGATGTCCCACATGGAATCCTAAACTCCATGAGACATGGAAGTGGTGGTGCTCCTTCTTACTTTGCTTGGTGAGTATTTAAACTTCTCTGTGAGTCACTATTACGTGGTTAAGAGTAGCGCAGAGAGTGAGAAGCAACTTCACTAATGCTGGGTTGACACTTGTGCCAGACTCAGCTCCTTTTTGGAGCTCTAATCCCTCTCCAGATGAAAGGGAAATATTTGCACTCACACAGTGCCTCTCGTTTCCACTGGTGTGACCAATCCCCCGAGCGGCTGCGCTGAGGCGATGGCAGACGCACTACGGTTTGCTTATCCCCGCACCGAGGGACGTGGCAGCCCCTCAGCATTTTGAGTGTGAGTGGAGGGGTTGAGCCACCCCAGCGTGGGTGTTATTCACACCGTGAGATCCAGTTTTCCAGCAACGCGAGTGACAGCCAGCATTGAGTGGAAATTGATAATCTGTGTGAAGCAAGGATTAAAAATAGAAGCTTTGTGTCAAACCCCACGTATGTTTTGACTAAATCCTAGATAACAAGAAGAATGGAGAAAAGACAGAGATTATACAGAGAACAGCAAAAACCAAGGAGCCAGGATTAAAGAAGAGGAGGATCTGGGTGGGTTAAAGCAATTCAGCATCATCGAGCGCCGTCCTTGCGTCCAGCTGGGGCAGCTGCGGCTCCCTTAGGGTACATCTCGCGTTGCCAGAGCCTTGATCTGCCAAGAGGCACCTCCAAGCCATGGTGCTGAGCACCCGGCTCAGCTCAGGGACTCGCGGTCAGCGTCTGACCCATCCACCACTGAAAGTCAATTATTTTGAGTGGTTGGAAACTC